CTCCCCGCAACTCAGTTCAACCCATCGTACCGCAGAATACTGGAGAATGGTTGTTCCCTAGTTTTCGGCAGAATCTACTGGGAGGTAAATCGCTCAACAGATTCTCGAACTTTGTGACCAGTGGAGCGGAAGCATGGGTGCTGAAGGGCAAAGCAGCAGATACGACAATCAACACCTCTTCATTCAGCACTTCTACATTTCCTACGATACACGAGAAAGCCTCCTCGGATGAGAGTGATGATGGAGATGTGGACGAAGACAGCGAAGAAGCAACCGGAAGCAACAATAGGCTCAGTCTAGTCGGGCTCGGGGAGGCAGATCGACATTTTGTCGATGCTGGGCACGCCTGGAAATCGAAAGTGCCGCCTTTCAAGGTCTTGATACATTCACCTTCAAAGCGGACATCGGTACTTTCAGGAGCTTTTACCGTTTACAACATCACATCACTGTTTCACATCGACTCATCAAGTGAAGACGACCCGCCTGGTTCACCGACGAGGATAACAGTCCAACGGAGATTCTCTCATTTCGTCATTCTTCATACCGCTCTATCGCGACGTCTACCCGGTATTGCATTACCACCTCTCCCCGAGAAGCAATACGCAGGAAGGTTCAGCGAGGATTTTGTAGAAGCCAGACGCGGGGATCTTGAACGATACATCAACAGGGTAGTCCGACATCCAGTTGCGCGGTATGCAGAGGTCGTAACTTTTTTCCTCGGTTGCGAGAGTGACTCAGTAAGAGTTGTTTTTCCTTACTTCTCGGGGCCAAGGTTGAGCTGATTCCTAGGAATGGAAACGCCTCGTACCGCATCATCTTTCGATGCCGCCTGCTGGACCTTCTTTCTATGCCCATGTATTCCACCCTGCTTTCAATCTTGATCTCGAAGACGCGGAAGAGGCTGGTGATCGGTTCAGTACACACACGAGAGCTGTCGGGAAGGGAGTCCAAGGGCTCAGAAACATATTTGGAAGGGTCAGAGATGCCAGAGTGGGTGAGTACCTCTGCTCGCTACTTATTAAAACCTTGTCGAAACCTTGGTTGCAGAGATGTCGAAGGCCGAGAGACTGTTGTCGTACTCGTTGCTTTCATTAATCACTTCAAAGCCACTCGCGTCGGCACCCACGACTGGTCTGGTAGAAGAGGATGAAGAGTACAGCACGAAGGGCAAGGGTTTGGTGAACGAAGATGGTGCTTGGTGTTGGCGAGAAGGGTGTAAATGTGGGTAATGCAGTCGATATAACGATTCTAACTCTTATCTTGTGTCCATCAGCTTGTTTAGGAGTGACGAAGGCAATGCAGCGGGCGTCAGACGCACTGCAAAGTGTCGCAGATTTGTACGATGACCATGTGAGTAAAGGCATCTGTTCCGCACCATTGAGAACGGATATTGATAATTGATTCTCTTTAAGGCGAGAAGAACGCAGCTCGCCACCCATGAATCCCTGAAGGGAGTTTCACACCCGTCTTCTCTGTACGACGGGGTTGTTGCAACCCATCGGTCAACTGTTACACGGTATCGGGAGGCCACCAGCGACAGCCATGTACGTTTTTATGAGAAGCCTACCGAAACACAACCTTACGATGCTCCAATAGGCAGATGAAGATATGGCAGCACGGTGCGAAACCGTGTTGAACACGACCATGGCAGAGATGGAGACGTACCATACACAGAAAGTCGAGGACTTCTCGACTCTCGCAAAGGAGCATCTGGACGGCGAGATCGAGCTTTACGAGCAGGTCTGTCGCATCTCTCTCTCTCCAACCTGCCCAAGTCTAACACAACCCCAGATCTTAACTCGTCTTCGAGCCGCACGGAATTCATTCGAGCCTCCCCAGTTGGAAGAACTCTCAATGTCGCCGCGGCAGCCCTCAATATATGAGAGGGAGCTCGAACATCCCAGGCTCACTGCAGAGCCATTGTTACAGCCATGCCCACACGTATTTGATTCGGCGCCCATGAGACCAGTCAGTGTCGCTATTCAGGAAGGAGTTGGAATTCTGACTGGGAGAGGGAGCGTTTTCGGAAAGTTCTGGTGATATGGACACTCATGTTGTGGTACTACTCATCTACACTCTAATAATTATGATCTGAAAATTGGGAATCAACGTCAACCCGCATGGATGATGGGCCATGGCGCGTCGCGACGCGTCTGAGCGTCTAAATAGCTGCAGCAACACGTGGTGCAAAGCCAACTTTGGAAGACCGAAGCCCTTCGTCTGTCACGGCCATTGTTGTCATTCATGAGGCATACTCATTCTTCTCTTTCTTTGCTATCACCACCATTTCTCCATGTCTGGGCCTTTGGTCAATGTCGAGGTCACTATCCGATATACGCCGAAAAAATTTGCATCAGTTGCTCAGCTGGATCGCAAGGTCTTTGCAACCAGACTTCGTCGTGACCTCGATGTTTTGAAGATACCACATCCTCCAGAAGCGAACATCAAGGAAATCTCTGAGAATGGGATCAAGTTTTTCTGGGAGACGGCGCTTAAGGGGGTAAACTCTGTTCATTTTCTTTGTTCTTCCTCAGAAAATGTTGACAACACTCCATTCATCACCGTTTAGGGTCTTCACAAGATAGTCAAGGGCATTATGGTGAACCAAGATGACCCCATTGTCTCACAGCGAAAAAGGTTGTGTGAAGTGTATGTCATTCATTCAGTTCATTGGAGTGGCACATGTACTCATCATGCGCATGGTAGAGAGTTAATAAAAGTGAAGGATACAAAGATAGGGTTCGTTCTCAGGTTCAAGAGATCCGCAGGCATAACTTTGTACGAGCTGACCGATCCGTAGGTCGTCTGGAGTTGTGGAGAGTACAAAGACACAAGGACCAGGAGGTGGGGCGTTCAGCGATTCGTATAGCAGACTTACCAGGCAAGGACGTCCACCCAGTCGTTTATCACTATCACCCCGGCGGTGTCGATCTGGATCGCGGTCTTTGAGTTCCAGTGGAGAAGATACGACATCGGTGAAACGCAATTTGCATCGATTACCTGCACAAATGAGGTCAGAACTCTTGCGGACGTACACCTCCGACCAGCCTCGGCCTCGCGATCCTTCGAGTCCATCGTACTCAAAATCGAGTTCTTCATTTGACAAACGTGGAAGATCTCCTTCTCCTTCGGACTCGTACTCCAAAAAGTACCCCCTCATACTGTCTCCTCGCCATTCGGCTCTACCCGAACCAGAACCGACACGCAGACTTTCACGAAGAGGTCGGTCACCTGCTCGGGGGTCATCCCCAACACGCAGATTCTCGCGTTCTCCGTTGCGGCGCCGTCCTCACTCGATAAATTCTCGCCGATCTCTAAGAAAGGAGCCATTTTACATTGACCGTGATCAATCCCCCACGCCCACTCGACGTTCATCAAAACGCGTCAAATCTCCTTCCCCGGCATCAAAACGATATGCAACGGCTACAATGGGCGATGAAAGAAGTCTGCCACGTTGTAGATCGCGTCGGAACTGCTCTTTGTCTCCCGATGAGTTTGCGGGACGCGTTGAGGTATCAGACGAAGCAAGGCCCCTGAGACGTACCTCAGCACAATCTGAATTCAACTCGCGGCAGGGACCTCGGCGGAACAGCGATAGGATTGAACGTCTCACCTCGGTCTCGGGGATTGAGAGCGTCCAGGCCTCGTTAATGAAAATTGTGAATTCGGTGAAGGGTGAAGATGATCATACGGAGCATGAGACAGCGCCGGCATCGAGCACCGCTAAAGAAGAGCCACTAGAAAAACCTTTGCCACCTCCAGCTTCCCTTCCCAGGCCGCCCGAACCTTATCGATCTTCATCTCCCCGTGGGCCGTTGGGGCCAGGTGCTTCAGTGTCGTCCGCCCCACCGTTGCCGCCACAGTGCTTGCCTCGTACTGACGCGGCAGGTACGGACCTTCTCAACCCTACTCCAGCAGTCGCATTGCTTCCCTTAACGAGCCCAGTAACAGCTTCTCGTACAGCTCAATTTGGCCCTGCGTCCACTTCGACAATCACCTTATCCTTGCCACCTGACGCGGAGACGTATTGTAGCACCATTCCTTCATCTTCGAACCACTCTCTCAATGTTCCTTCGGCTTCAGATCAGTCCAATCCATCAGACATGCAAGGAAGTGCGGCCCCCGAATGGGAGCTTGCTCCAAAACCAGCATCGTTGCCCGAGGCCCGACCACCACGATGGGTCCCAATCTCTCTAAAGCGTCCGCAGGCCGATAAACCGAAACCCATCGTCTCGGAGATCGAGGACGAGACGGAGACAGATGTCGACATGTTTAAATCGGCGGGCAATTCTTTTAATGACAAGATATTACAGCGTTCTCAAGCAGAGAAGGACTTGATTGCCAAGCTGACGAGGGAACTCTGGGATTCCAGGAGGAATTTAATGGCGCTCTCGGCCCGGGGTTTGGCTATCGAGGATAGTCTGAGGGATATGAAGAAGCAGGAAGAGAAGAGTAAGAAACCTGACCGTGGTTTCATGGAGGCATGTGAGGAGCTCGGTGTTGGGAGTAAGAAGATTGGATCCTGGGGTGAGTATCGTGATGGTCAATCAGTTATGGGTGTTCATTAACAACCCCAAAACCTCCAAATCGCAGAGCTGCAGTTCAAAATCAAGATAGTGGAAAGCCTTCTCCGTGAAGAGACTCGTGCTCGCGTCAAGGCGGACATGTTGCTGGCGGATGTCTTGAGGGAGTGTGAGGAGCCCAAGGTCGTTCCACAGCTGTACGAGCTGTTGCTTGGTGCTTCGCAGAATGATTTGCCAGTATAGACGAAGATCCCAGACCCCATTGTCTATACTGTGACCTGTCAAGACTCGAGACTGAATGGATACGCGATTTATCACTTCGATATCATTCTGAGAATTCCGATCCAACGCAAGTAGGTGTGGTAAGATATACAATCCCTATGCATGTAAGTAGATTGGCTAGAGTGATTAGTTATGAAGAAAGTCGTGGTTTTCTGCCAACACCCCTCCCATATATATAGCTGTTTAGCTCAATGCGGTCTAATAGTGTAGTGGTTATCACAATGGATTCTGATTTACGAGGTTTGTTAACCGCTGGTTATTACCTTCCATTAACCCAGGTTCGAGTCCTGGTTAGACCTGGGATAAAATTTTTAAATCAAGCCAGTCTGACTTCTGGTTTCAGCGGTCCAGTACTTTGATCTTCGCAAGTCCTCAAGTATGTACCCGCATTGTGCGAAATGATTGTGTTAAGAGATTCATGCCCGAATATCCAGATTGTGAATGAGGGCGCTAGCTAAGATAAGATAAGATAGGACAATCATTCTATGACCACCCCATTAAGTCAATCGGACGGACCTCGTGCCCCCACATCCATCCAACCATCATCACCGATATGTTCCAGAGGTGTGCCAGATTGAGAGCTCGGTGAGTTAATCTCAATGCAAGGAATAACACTGCTGAATTGTACCATAGTGTGCCAGTAATTGGCTCCAGGGTATCCAATGCCCAGAGGCAAATAACTATTCCACCCGAACAACTTGAAGAATTTGGGGATCACCATGTTACTGGTGGGCTCGGGCGAATTACCAAGGGGGTGATGGTCAGAGCACAGGGCTCTCATGTATACTTTGAAGACGGAAAGAAGATGCTGGACTTCACTTGCGGGATTGGTGTAACTAACCTGGGTGAGTTCTCCGAGCCCTAGTTTCGCACAAAGTTCATTCAACGACGCGACGTTCATAGGCCATTGTCATCCTAGAGTTAGTAAGGCTGCGTCAGAGCAGTGCTTGCATCTCAATCATGCTCAGGTATCTCCGCTTGGCTTTCCCGGTATTCACCCGATCCAAACTCGCATTGCTATCTAGTGCAGCATCGCATTCCACGAACCGTACCTACGCTTGATTGAAAAGCTTCTGCCTGCCATGCCTCACAAGTCACTCGACTCATTCTTCTTCTGGAACTCTGGTTCGGAAGCAGTTGAGGCATCTCTCAAAATGGCGCGCATACTCACCGGCAAACAGAACATCATATGCATGCAAGGTTCGTTTTCGGGAAGATCTGGGTATCCGGTCTCATCGGCTGACGCCCATCAACAGGCGCTTATCACGGGCGCACTTTTGGTGCCCTCGGGGTCACAAAGAGCAAAACTATCTACGGTGAGGGTGTAGCACCCTTGATGGTAAGCCACATGATTCTCAATGCTTCCAGGGCTTTACATGAACTCGACATTGGACAGCCTGGTACTTTCCCTGTACCGTTTCCCTATTGGCATCAACACGGTCTTCTACCGTCCACTTCTCCTTCCATATTGACTGCTCAGTCATTGTACCAATTGCATCTTCTGCTCGCTCAGCAAACGTCGCCCTCCGAGACAGCTGCCATTATCGTTGAACCTGTTCTCGGCGAGGGAGGGTATGTCCCTGCACCCAAAGAGTACTTGGAAGGGCTACGTGAAATCTGCGACAAGCATAATATGCTTCTGATCGTGGATGAAGTTCAGTCCGGCTTTGGTCGCACTGGTTCGTGGTTCTTTATTGAAGAGAGCGGTGTCCGACCGGACATCTTGATCATGGCGAAGGTAAGTTCATCGTTAAACTATCCTTCTGACTTTCGATTGACCTCTGATCGCAGGGTCTCGCTAATGGCTTCCCGTTGAGTGGTGTCGTTAGCCGCAAGGAACTGACCGACAAGCTCAAGCCCGGAACCATGGTCCGTAAACTTTCATTCACCTGTATTTGGACCCGTCTGAGCTCGTCGCACGATATAGGGAGGCACATATGCAGGAAATGCGGTATCGTGTGCTGCTGCTTGTGCCGTCGCCGATGTGATCAAGGAGGAGAATGTCCTCGCCAACGTTCAGGCCCGGTAGGCTACCTCTTCTCTTCTCATCCGCCTTGTCGCTTCTCTCATATATTTCTTTCACTCAACCTCTAGCTCTGAGCAGCTCTTCTCTCGGTTACAGTCCCTGCAAGATGACAGCACCCTATCACCCTACATCCTCGATATTCGGGGACGGGGACTGATGGTCGCAATGGAGTTCGCCTCCTCCGAGGCCGTTGGAGCGCCCTATGATGCTGTTACACCAACTCAGGATATCAAGAAGGGTCTCGCCAGCAAGGTCGCAAAGAAATGCATCGAGAAGGGAATGCTTCTACTCACCACGAGCGCGTATGAAGTTGTGAGATTCATACCAGCTCTGAATATCACACAAGAGGAGATGGATAAAGGTCTCTCTATCTTCGAGGAAGCGCTACGTGAGGTCGTTGCCGAACATTGAAGAAACTCTCCTTTCCGCTTCTTCCACCTCTTCGGACAATATTCCCGAACGAAAGGACTCGTGTCCAGTTGACATCAAAAGGTACATCTGGCTACTAACAATCTAAGTACAAGTATAACAATGTCGTCCATCTTCTGTATCAAAATCGTGAATCGTAACATGAATGGTTCGTGTGCTACATCTACTATGATCCGTCGTTGTCGTCGTTACTTTTACATTTCGTTTCCCTCAGTAGACGCCGGGGAAGAGCTTGTACGGTACGTCCTGTCGCCACTTTTCCCACTTGTCTCCAAATTCCTTGCGAAGCATCTCCTCTTCTGAGTTAATGCGCATCATCAAGGTTCCAATCATGAGCGCTATCCCACCGAACCAGACAAAAATGATTGTTCTTCCCCACGTCGTGTCCAGAATACCGGACTCTCTCACCCACGATCCTCGGGACAGATGCTGAAGAGCAGCAAATCCGAGGGTAATCACAGCCCCTGTGTATGATGGATGGCGAACGACCGAGTATAACCCGGACGTGACCAACTTGTGGTCCTTTTGGACGCTGAGCTCAAAGGTGAACGAAGCGCCCAGAGCTCGGAAACAATGTACACGAATGATGCCTCCCACCATGACGAGGACGGCGGAGAAGAGGAATAAGGGTGTTGGTTCGGTGATACTGGTCGAGAGCCCGGGCTTTAAGCGTACGGTAGAGTGATTGAGGAGATGTCCTGCGTTGAAGGTCGATGATACGATAGTCACCGACTCGAGGATACAGACGATCCAAAACAGCATCTTTGATTCAATCGACGGGTTGTAAGTAAGACTCGTGGCGGCAATCAAGTCGGGAACAAGAAACTCACTTTGAAATAAGTGACCGGTCCACCAGCAGTGAGAATTCGTCGGAGGACCACCTCTCCGGTGTGGGCAGCTCCTCTTTCTTTGTGAGGGATGTACTGCTCTGTGGGTGGAGGAGGGCGGTTCGGAGGCGTCATGCCCACCTGCAACGATACCGTCGACAAGAAAAGGAAAGGTAGCTTTACAAGAGACATGGGGGGTGCGAATTGTCGGAGGGCATGAAGAATGCCGGCTTATATACCACAGTGTGGGGGTATGTAATTCGAGTCCAAGCTCACTAGCTCCCCTTGGTCGTAGGCGACTTACCCACGTCCACGGTTCGTTGCCCCGACGTACATAGTTCCTGAAACTAGTAGGGTATTCAGCGGGATACTTGATGAGCTTTGCATTCATCATATCCGTCACGGCTCGAGCGCTCGGAGCCTCGGTTTCACCTGGTGACAGAAAGAATAGACCCATCACGATCTCGCGACTACCGGTAATTAAAGACTGAGATTAGCCAACGATAGGATTGCCTAGGATGCCGTATATGTGCTTGAATAGTCCTGATTTGGCTGAAACATTTTGACCAAGAACAGCTTGAATACCGAGTCGCCCGGGACGAGATATGCGTTCACCTGGTGTGGTAAGAGGGAAAAAGATGAGAAATGAACGATTTGCAGGGGTCGTGAATGGCAGCCAATGACACTGGCACTACTTCGGACATTATCCGCAAGCCAATACCGTCCTGTTTACTCACAGCGTTGAGTTCTAGAACGTCACTAGACAGGAAGAATGTGCCGTGCCCTTGAGAAGCCTAGGTGCCGCAAGTCGGTCATCGGACTTACTACGATTAGTAATCGGGACTGCCTTGCAGGGTGAGTACACAACCCAACTTTTTTTTTCGTGTCCTCTTCTCAGTGAGTGTCTGCCATGGCTAAAAGGAGTCTGTCGTGATGGAGGTCCAAGCTTCCATCTCTGGCTGTACATTCAGAGTAGCCCATTGCTACTAGGGATATGTGGGTCGTATGTTGCGATCCTCCGATATGGCGGAAAGTGGCCTGTATAGGCATAGGCAAGAATATCTGCGCCACAAAAATATTGTGACAAACCAATGTATGTGCGTTGATCGCAGGACCCAACAGGACCCAACCCAGAGCCATGTGTTCGGTAGCACGTAGCCTGTGGTCTTTAATGTAACTGTCACCCATGTAAGTCTCTTGCTCCCGACGTGGCTTGCTAGTGTAGTTCTTCACCCCTGATACAGAATGTCATGGCTCCATGCACGACACGAGCCGTATACGACAATATTATCATGTCCGACTATAAATATCGGACGGTCCAAGCTGCAGGGTAGTTTTATGGGTCTAAACCAATTGAGGGACAACTCTATGGATCGTCGCTCTCGCTTAACACACGTAGCACTGACAGACTTGCAGCACGTACGGCTCGTATGAGTTTGTTCTCTTCTTTTCGGTTCCACAAGTCCTCAGACGTGTACATATGTCGTACCGAATACATTGCAGTATAGATCATCAGCCTGGACATGACCTCGGTTCATTGATCTGCATATGAAGTGACACTTACACCTACACGGTATCCTCAGCGTACACGGCGGATCGATTACTTATAACCACCGCCCAAAATACTGCAACACCTGTTCGCATACGTCCGTCACATGTTTGCGTTCGACAAAACCATGCCCCTCTCTCGGGTACACGATTAATTGTACTCGCTTCCCAGCACGAGTAGCACCCCTGTAGAGCCCCACAGCCTGTGAGACTGGCACCCGCTCATCCTTTTCCCCATGGAGGATCAGAAAAGAGGTACGCGGGTCAATGTTGGAGACAAGGGACATCGGACTAAGGTTTTGCGCATGGTTGCAGGCTGCTAGGGGCTCCTCCGCAAGTGCCTCTGACGTTCCATTGACATTTTGCGTGGAATCCGCCCACGAGGGAGGGGAAGCAGGAATCCATGGATTCATCCCAGAAATCGCCATCTCCAACTCTGGACTCCCCCCACCTCCCACTCCGACTGACG